ATTTCTCTAGTATACCTTAATTAGTACTGACAACTATTTATTAAATTTATGATCAGGTTCTATTTTTGTTACATTGTTATCACTAAAAAGCCATTTTCTGTTGTGTATCTTTTTGTATATTAATGTTGAACACTTTTTATATTCTATTTCAATTAAATGTCATACCGATTTTGTCTTTCCACAATTTGTGAATTGATGTATACATGTGATAATATTATTATGCTCTTTTAAAATCCATAGCTAATGTTATTTAAGTGTCAGAATAAAATCCATAGCTAATGTTATGTAAGTGTCAGACAAAATCCATAGCTAATGTTATTTAAGTGTCAGACAAAATCCATAGCTAATGTTATTTAAATGTCAGACAAAATCCATAGCTAATGTTATTTAAATGTCAGACAAAATCCATAGCTAATGTTATTTAAGTGTCAGACAAAATCCATAGCTAATGTTATTTAAGTGTCAGACAAAATCCATAGCTAATGTTATTTAAGTGTCAGACAAAATCCATAGCTAATGTTATTTAAGTGTCAGACAAAATCCATAGCTAATGTTATTTAAGTGTCAGACAAAATCCATAGCTAATGTTATTTAAGTGTCAGACAAAATCCATAGCTAATGTTATTTAAGTGTCAGACAAAATCCATAGCTAATGTTATTTAAGTGTCAGACAAAATCCATAGCTAATGTTATTTAAGTGTCAGACAAAATCCATAGCTAATGTTATTTAAGTGTCAGACAAAATCCATAGCTAATGTTATTTAAGTGTCAGACAAAATCCATAGCTAATGTTATTTAAGTGTCAGACAAAATCCATAGCTAATGTTATTTAAGTGTCAGAATAAAATCCATAGCTAATGTTATTTAAATGTCAGAATAAAATTCATAGCTAATGTTATTTAAGTGTCAGAATAAAATTCATAGCTAATGTTATTTAAGTGTCAGAATAAAATTCATAGCTAATGTTATTTAAGTGTCAGAAAAAAATTCATAGCTAATGTTATTTAAGTGTCAGAATAAAATCCATAGCTAATGTTATTTAAGTGTCAGAAAAAAATTCATAGCTAATGTTATTTAAGTGTCAGAATAAAATTCATAGCTAATGTTATTTAAATGTCAGACAAAATCCATAGCTAATGTTATTTAAATGTCAGAATAAAATCCATAGCTAATGTTATTTAAATGTCAGGCAAAATCCATAGCCAATGTTATTTAAGTGTCAGACAAAATCCATAGCTAATGTTATTTAAATGTCAGACAAAATCCATAGCTAATGTTATTTAAGTGTCAGACAAAATCCATAGCAAATGTTATTTAAGTGTCAGAATAAAATCCATAACTAATGTTATTTAAGTCAGAATAAAATCCATAGCTAATTTTACTTAAGTGTCAGAATAAAATCCATAGCTAATTTTATTTAAGTGTCAGAATAAAATCCATAGCTAATGTTATTTAAGTGTCAGAATAAAATCCATAGCTAATTTTATTTAAGTGTCAGAATAAAATCCATAGCTAATTTTATTTAAGTGTCAGAATAAAATCCATAGCTAATGTTATTTAAGTGTCAGAATAAAATCCATAGCTAATGTTATTTAAGTGTCAGAATAAAATTCATAGCTAATGTTATTTAAATGTCAGACACAATCCATAGCTAATGTTATTTAAATGTCAGAATAAAATTCATAGCTAATGTTATTTAAATGTCAGAATAAAATTCATAGCTAATGTTATTTAAGTGTCAGACAAAATCCATAGCTAATGTTATTTAAATGTCAAATGAAAACCATAGCTAATGTTATTTAAATGTCAGAATAAAATTCATAGCTAATGTTATTTAAGTGTCAGAATAAAATTCATAGTTAATGTTATTTAAATGTCAGACAAAATCTATAGCTAATGTTATTTAAATGTCAGAATAAAATTCATAGCTAATGTTATTTAAATGTCAGAATAAAATTCATAGCTAATGTTATTTAAATGTCAGAATAAAATTCATAGCTAATGTTATTTAAATGTCAGAATAAAATTCATAGCTAATGTTGTTTAAATGTCAAATGAAATCCATAGCTAATGTTATTTAAATGTCAGAATAAAATTCATAGCTAATGTTATTTAAGTGTCAGACAAAATCCATAGCTAATGTTGTTTAAATGTCAAATGAAATCCATAGCTAATGTTATTTAAATGTCAGAATAAAATCCATAGCTAATGTTATTTAAGTGTCAGACAAAATCCATAGCTAATGTTATTTAAATGTCAGACAAAATCCATAGCTAATGTTATTTAAGTGTCAAATGAAATCCATAGCTAATTTTATTTAAGTGTCAGACAAAATCCATAGCTAATGTTATTTAAATGTTAAATAAAATCCATAGCTAATATTATTAAAATGTTAAATAAAATCTATAGCTAATGTTATTTAAATGTCAGAATAAAATTCATAGCTAATGTTATTTAAGTGTCAGAATAAAATTCATAGCTAATGTTATTTAAATGTCAGACACAATCCATAGCCAATGTTATTTAAGTGTCAGACAAAATCCATAGCTAATGTTATTTAAATGTCAAATGAAATCCATAGCTATTTTTATTTAAGTGTCAGACAAAATCCATAGCTAATGTTATTTAAATGTTAAATAAAATCCATAGCTAATATTATTAAAATGTTAAATAAAATCCATAGCTAATGTTATTTAAGTGTTAAATAAAATCCATAGCTAATGTTATTTAAATGTCAGACAAAATCCATAGCTAATGTTTTTTAAATGTGAAATGAAATCCATAGCTAATATTATTTAAATGTCAGACAAAATCCATAGCTAATGTTATTTAAATGTCAAATGAAATCCATAGCTAATTTTATTTAAATCTCTGACAAAATTGATAACTAAAGTTTTTTAAATGTCAGGTACAATCCATAGCTAATATTTTTAGATGTCAGGTAAAATCTATAGCTAATGTTATTTAAATGTCAGACAAATTTCATAAGTAATGTTATTTAAATATCAGGTAAAATCCATAGCTAAAGTTATTTAAATTCTTAATATTTCTCTAGTTGACATTAAATACATGTAAAACTCAAGAATTTAGAACATGTTTAATTTTACTTGCTTTCTATTTTTATCAATGCAGTCAAATAATTCCTCCCACATGATTCTATTTTAATTCTTGATGTTTTCTTTATGTTGGATTATTTTATAGATGCATGTAAATTATATGAAGAGAATACATTCTTCAAAAATAGATAGAATGTATTTGATTTGAGCAGATTTATTAAACAACTTAAATGCATCCAAAATCAGACTCAGAGTTTTCTATTTCTCTAACTTGTTTTCTTTCCTCTTATTAATTTTTCATCTAATTTGTTCAGTTGTTTTGTGTTTCATGCCATTTCTCAAAACAAAATATTCTGTACATGGTGGTCAGAATAATTGTCGGAGGTAAAACCTGAGACAACTCTGATAAGAAGCACTGATCCATGGGTAGCTGCTGGCAAAGCTTTCTCACATACCTATAATTGCTGAGGCAGAGACTTGAACCCATGTGGACAGATGTGAGATGACAGTGATCAGAAAGGCAAGCACTGAAGACCATTCAGCCACCCAGGGTCACTGCTTTTTCATTATCTCATACACAAGGTTATAGTTTTTTATGTTATAGTTATATTTTAAATATTTAGAAATATAGATGATGTTCAGTATTATGGTTTAATCATTTAATCATGTCTGTGGCATAATGATTTCATAGGGCATACATATTTTGTAGCCATCTCATTACATTTTTAGAGTGAATTAATTTATTGTTGATATTTAGTACATATTTTTATTTCTTCCATTTCAAAACCACACATAACACAATCTTCTTAGTCAACTCTTCCTCTTTTATTGCATCTGATACACCTTTCAAACATTATATCTGAAATCGAATCATCACCAATTTTTTTAATAATTGTAATTTTTTAAAAACAAAAATAAATATATAATTGTGTGCAAATTGTTTTCTATTTACCTGCATATTTATTTCTTGTTGAATGAAACTGTGAGTTTTACAGATGTCATTGTAACACAGCAAGTTCAAACATGCATGCATGCATATATATATATATATATATATATATATATATATATATATATATATATATATATATATATATAGATATAGATATATATATATATATGCATATACAGAGAGAGAGAGGTACACATATATGCAGCAAGATCCTACAGATGAACACATTATATATAGAGAAGTTATATGCAGCTCCATGCTAAACCTCTAAGCAGAACATGTATAGAGAAGTATATACAAGACCTTGCTAAAAGCATGCAAGAGCAGTATGCAAGGAAAAGTATATGCAAGACCATGGTATAAACATGTGAGTACGCAATGCAAAGAAAAGTATATACAAGACCATGGTAAAGCATGAGTACACAATGCAAAGAAAAGTATATGCAAGACCATGGTAAAGCATGAGTACACAATGCAAAGAAAAGTATATGCAAGACCATGGTAAAGCATGAGTACACAATGCAAAGAAAAGTATATGCAAGACCATGGTAAAGCATGAGTACACAATGCAAAGAAAAGTATATACAAGACCATGGTAAAGCATGAGTACACAATGCAAAGAAAAGTATATACAAGACCATGGTAAAAGCATGAGTAAAATATGCAAAGAAAAGTATATACAAGACCATGGTAAAGCATGAGTACAATATGCATACTGAAGTATATATAATATCATGCTAAAAACAATTATTTAAAACCTTATCATGTATACTCACTTGTAAATCAAGTTATACCACAGACAACATAGGCCATGATTTGCCATTGCATAATTCACCATTAGATCTGGGTCTGTGTTATTTATTCTGCTGATTACTCTGAACAAACTACATAAACCTAGATCTGTCAAACCATTAATCAACCGGAGATCTGGATCTGTGCAGCTTGTATTTGGGCTTAAGTTACAAGCTGGTATTGACTGTATTTACACCAAAGACTGCTCTGGTGGCCCAGTGGTTAGAGCATCTGCCTTGGATGCAGGAGGTTGTGGATTTGATCCCCGGCCAAGTCATACCAAAGACTTACAAAAATGGTACTAACAGCTGCCTTGCTTGGTGTTTAGCATTAAGAGGTCAATTAGTGTTAAGACTGGTCGGCCTGGTGTTAGGATAATGTTACTGGGTGGGATATCATGCTTCATGTCTTTGGGGTGATGCCCCATTGCAGCTTACATCACTATAAACTGTCAAACTGTAGAAGTTATAGTGATATGACTGAAAAATTGTTAAAGCTACATGCAAGGAAGGATTTTAAAACATTAAAATCCTTCTTAATTGATTCAGTGTCGATTAGCTAGGGAATGATCTCCCATGGTGATTGCCTAGTGTGGACAAATAAATGGAACATTACAGAAGCTGAGCAAATTATTGAAAAAAAGAAACAATGAGCCACCTTTTCAATAAATTATAATAAAGTTTAATCAATTAATATATAATTAAAAGAAAATCACTTTTCATCCAACAGATTAAATAAAATAAATGTAATAAAATAATGCATAATCAAAATTCACTTTATAATCAATTAATGCATAACCAAAATTCACTTTCTATTCCAACTGATTTACAGTGACAGAATTAAGTCACAGTGTTCAATTTACATCATATTGCAAGTGTTGAATTCTGAGCACAATTTTCATGCTTTGACAGCATCCCCTGATGTCTGTCTCTTCTTGTCTTGTTTCCCAGATCTAGTGCATGTGCTTTGGTCTTCTTTTGACTCTTGACTATTCAGATCTCTCCCAGATGTGGATTTACCCTTGACTCATGGGGTTCACAAATTCCAACAATGTGATCTTAACAAAGGACTGTCTATGCAGATTCTGTGTTTTGGTAAAGTACCATTACATTAGTACAAATGACCTTAGCTCAAAGTTCATTTCACTCAGCATGGGTAATTGATAATGAATTACCATGTCCATTCTTAGACAAATGCAGCGGTATATACCAGCATACCTAATACTACACATCTTATTTACATTTAGCTAGTCAATGCAGTTTGATAAATTAAATGCTTAATTACTTATTGCATAATATCCACTAAATCTAGCTACATTAAAGTAACCTGCCTGATCATTTAAATATTGCAAAATTATATATAAATATACACTTATCAGTAACTCATGATAGCAAATATCATCCTACACAGAGAATCAATTCATATATCACAAGAAATATTACACATTTTTATATTAAGATTAATTCACAAGTCCTATTGAAATACTGTATATTTGCATTCATTGAGGTACATCATAAATCCCTATGAAATTCTATACATTGAATATTTAATTACATGCAATCCCTCAATTCTCTCAATGAATTAATAATTGAAAAATCAAAGAATTAAATGGCATAAAACTAACAAATGAATAAAGTCCTGCAAAATGAATACATGATACATGCATGAATCATAAGCATATCAACACATTGCAGACAAACCAAACAAATGAAATAGAATATTGAATGGAAACTAAAATTGTGTACCTAAATGCCATTCTTTCCACACAACTATCTGGCCCTTTTCTACATTAATGAGGGATAACTCTATCCTTAGTTTTCCCATGGAGCCTCAAATTCGACTTCTCACAAGCAAAACTGGACTAAAAAATTTTGAGCAAGCAGTACCCTTAATCCGTTTTTCAAAGTGTATGCCCTTAATTTCTCTGATCAATCAGAAATAACTGTTAATAAAAATATCTCCAAATAATCATGTCTATCATCAGATTTCACAAGCCTAAAATATGCTGCAATTAGCTTCCTTTGAAAAATTAATTATTTGACATGTGCCCCATTTGAACTGTTATGGTCTGAGTTCTATCAACTGCATGCTATTGTATCAGTAAAATGACTATATAAAAAATCCAAATCACACTCACACACACACACACATTTACATCAAATAGTCTGGCAACATCAATGGAGTTTAAAGTGTTTTGTTAGTATAGATATAGCAGTAACCAGATGCTTATATTTTAATCCAGTCTATCAGACAGTTTGTAATTAATTTATGTAATCTCTTACTATGGCTCAGTGGGAATATTGGCTATCAAGTACAACTTGCAAAAGAGGTATTTCATTTTTAAAAATTTACATGTTGCTCTTTAAGACAAGTGTTAGCTTAATAAAGGTGACAGGTTGGACTATATGACCCTAAAATATCATTAAGTCTGATCTAACTTTGCATATTTGAAGATTTGATCATAACCAATAGGGACCCAATTAATCAAGTTGACCTTTGGCCACACTGTAACCCAATCAGTCAACTGAAATACTTTATATACACTCCTTCAAAGTAAATTAAAATTGATTTCCCCATTTAGATTGTGGGGAACAGCTGTCATAATTTACCAATTGATTTAAGATAATGTAATTTGGGGTACACAAGCCAACATGGCTCATTAACTGCATGATAACACTGCTAAGGCACTGATTTATTTAATGTTGTTAACAAGTGTAATGCCAGACAATTTGAAGGAAGGGTTTAAGAAACAAAACTCTTTACCAACTTAAAGAAGAATGACACAATAATATCTATCCAACAAATATATATATATATATATATATATATATATATATATATATATATATATATATATATATATATATATATATATATATATATATATATATATATATATATATATATATATATATATATATATATAAATTTATTTGCAGTATGATTTCCAGGAGAGTCCATGTGACACCTCATCCTTACCCCTGGGACTTATGCTGCGGGCACCCATGACTAGTTGGACCAGTAAATATTTTACAATTCTTTTATTTTGCAGGAAATATATTCTGTTGCTACATATACTTTAGTACACTGTGAGGCTGAAGACTTTTGCTTCTATGATAAATAGCAAGGTCCACATTAAAATAAACTACACTATATAGATCTGACAAAAATTCTTTAATAAGTATGCTTTGCCCTAAAACTGTACAATTGCCCATATCCCTCTTCTCTAAAGCATTTTCAGCTAGTATTCCCATCCAAAGTCACCAAATTAGTTGTTTATTTCTTATTTCTAACACATTGTTAAAGCTATGCTGAAAACACACACAGACACACACACACAGACACACACTTTTAACTTAGTATTACTTTCGATAACAAATGGTCAAAAAACTGTAGGTCCTATTGATATATTGAGTACTAAGTGATGACAGCAATCAATCTTAAACTTAATTAGTGTTAATAAGAAAATCACTCCTAACTTATAATGAACGGAGAGAACAAGAGGTTACTGGCCTAATCAAATTGTTTTCTTCAGTGATTCTCTTCCAGTAGAGCAAATCATTTCTACTTCATTAACTCATCTACAAGCTTCAATGAGCTCATCACAAATTATTTGGATTAGTATTATATATTTTTACAGGAGGAGACAATTTCTATTTTAACATTAGCTCCTGTGCCTCAGTTGTAATATGAAATAATTTTCAACATATTACTGCCAGATACAACACTGGATAACATGCCAGACAAAACAGAGGATAACATGCCAGACAAAACAGAGGATAACATGCCAGACAAAACAGAGGATAACATGCCAGACAAAACATTGATAACATGCCAGATAATTAAGCATTATCTTCTTGCACACATAAGACATGGATTTATTTCTTCTCTAATGATTATCACCAGCATAGTTACAAATGATTAGTAGCACCCCTTGATATCCATCCCAAACTTAACACATGACCCTTGGGTCATTTTAAGTGCTCAGTGTTATGTACACCTTGATAAACAGAAATGCAACATAACCAATACACTTTCCTGTGCTGACATTTCATATGATGATTCCAATATGATGACGATTTACTGTAGAAAATATTTTGCTGACATATGGTAAGAATTTATGTTGCATGTTTATATTGGAATAATACAATAATATATTGAAATAATCTGAATAAATCTTTAAAACTTCTAAATTTGATTGTAGTTTTGTTCAGTTTTAGCTAGAATTACACCATCTTAGCTAATGTTCTAAGTTGTCAAATTCCCTCCCTCTCTTTCACTCTCATGTATATATATATATATATATATATATATATATATATATATATATATATATATATATATATATATATATATATATATATATATATATATATAAATATATATATATATATATATATATATATATATATATATATATATATATATATATATATATATATATATATATATATATATATATATATAAACACACACACATAGACATACATAGTCATACCTATGCATATTCTTTAAACTTTAAAACATTTCATCTTGAAAATAAACATGGCAAGATTTGTGAAATTTTTATATAAAAAAAATACAGAGGGTTTATATAGTTCTATAAACAAAACATATTTATATTATTTAATGTACTAGAAAATATGACAATTTTGGTTGTGGATTTGCTCTTGCTTCTGTTTCAGTATTATTATTGCTTTATCCATGCTTAACTAGTTTTGTCTCAAAATTTAAATTCTTTATCTCTGGTACACAGTCCTAAGGACCCAAGAACATGTTATTGAATGCAGTTTACAAGAATCAGTCATACATATTTCCAAAAATATTAATATGAAAAATAAATAACAAGTTCACCAAAAACCTGCCTAACTATTAGCAAATATACCTAAAAGCTTCCTGAAAATTGTTAACTACATCACTATAATCATACTCACAATCCTTTGATCTGAAAGTTATAATGTATGCTTAAAAGAAACTAAGAAAGTCTAAGGGAGTAAAGAACTGCTGTTTATATTCACAGCAAGTGAGCTGTGCAAATAGGGTTCTTGAACAAACCTATTTAAATACTTCCAATGGGATTTCAACAGCATCATTACTGTCACATATGATAAAGCACTGATACATTGGGATGTGAGAGCTTCCCTTATCTATAATTTAATTGATATGTTGCCCATTTTTCTACTTTAACAGTATTACTTTTTAATCTTGTACATCTAAGTTAATGGAAATTTTGAAACACCAAATTATAGGAAAATGTAGACAAATATCCATTTTCAG